TGGATACCCTGGCCACGTCGGTATTCACAGAACGAGCTCGCTGACACCGCAGCTAAGTCCGTCTGCTCTGGTGCCATCACGGCCGTGCCTGTCCCATACATGGACTACAGTCCTGTCTTCAAGGCACGGCTTCGTGACAGTTGGCAGTTGACTTGGAGTGAGCAATGCCATAATAAGTTTTTCCAGTTCAAACCTTCTGTTGGTCTTTGGCCGTCTTGCTTCCGTAAGGATCGGAAGGAGGAAGTAGTCCTGGCAAGGCTACACATTGGTCATAGTTTTTTAACCCATCGTTTTCTTTTATCAGGTATTGACCCACCGATGTGTAGCCATTGTGACATTCAAGTCACAATAGCCCACATTTTACTGTCGTGCCGTTGTTACGACCGTGAGCGGCGGCACCATTTTAGACACATTTTTTCGAAAAGTTTACCCCTGATGCTGGACAGTGTCATTGGTAATGGTGACACTGTCCGATTAGATTGTGTTTTTAATTTTTTTACACACTATAGGTATTTTTAATTCTATATAAATCTTTTATTGACATGTATTGGTTTTAACTCGCTGTATTTTTACATTTTACTTTAATTTACTTTTATTGTTTTTACCGGTTGTTTGGCGCAGATAGCCTTGCTGCTTTACGCCATAAAGCACCAACCAACCAACTCTTCCAATTGTCAGCTTGTTCTAACTACCTGCTGTTGAAAAAGCATACGTTTTTTGTCCTGTTATAAATAACAATTAATCTTACAATCTAAAACTGTCATGACAAAATGTTTTTTTTCTAAAGAAGTTAAAAAGAAAACTCGTTATCAAAACAGTTTCCAATGATTTTTTTCACCATCATCATGACTAATAGTAAGTAAATTCAATGAAAGGTAGCTTTTTATTTTGTCACTGTTGAAGTTAATAGTTTGTTCTGATATCTCTAGAATATCTATATTGTATATTCCTGAGAAATTCATCCTTAAAATAAAAATAACTCCAGCTGGTAAGTTCATGCCTTGTATTTCTCATGATCTTGAGATTTTAGGTTTTGTGCATCAGATAATTAAACAACTAAAGAAGGGACACTCTATTTCAGTAAAACATACTGGGAGATCTACTTCATATCACATGCAGAACAAGCTGGTGTTTGTCAGAGGCAATAGGCAACAAACCTTATCAACAATTGTAGAAGTGATATCCCTAAGTTGGTGCACTGAGCAAAGCTCTTGCATAGAGTTAAATACAGTGGAAAGGTTGCTAGAAAGAAGCCACTGGTGGCAAGAGTGAACAAATTCTGTTGTTTTGACTGGTGCCATTCCTTGCATGTGAGTGGCCCATAGTATTCTCAGATGGGTCAAACTTCCACCTATTCACATTTGGTTATACATGGATCTGTAGGAATCTGGATAGGCTTTTGACTCATTTTCTTTACATACAGCCATTAGTATTAGAGGTTTTAGAGTCATGGTTTAGGCAAGCATTTGTTACGGTAGCAAAATATCGCTTACATTTGTTCGAGCTCATCTCCTTTTCACAGGATATATATTTGTTTTGCAGGACACTCTTTTGCCTGTGTTTGAACAAGGAATTCTTTACTATACATGTGACATTCTGCAACAAGACAGCAACTTGCCACACCTCCAGAACCTCCACAGTTCAGAAAGTACAGAATTAATTGCAACTACTGACCAGGCATCCACAAATAAGATGGAAATCCCCCTTCACCCCCAGATTCCTTTATTATGAGTCCCAGAAGTAAACACTGAAGTCTGAAGGTCTGTTTCACCAGTGGCAAACAGTCTTCCTAAATAGGGTTGACTATGCTCAGTAAATTGCCACAATATTAGAACTAGTATGCATGTTGTTGTTGTTGCATTAATTTCAAGATGAAAATACTGCTGAAAGTCGATTATGAAAATGCACACAAGATGAGAGAGATTAACAGTGGTTTCAAAGAGAAATTTCGATACGATCACTCACCTCCATACAGAGAAAGCTATTTTACTCTTAAAATTGTGCTAATCTGCCTAAGAGACTTGCATACCACCAGCCTTGTGAGAACTCCAACCTAAAATTCACACGAATCATATGAAATTGGGTCAGTGCACGATGATGTATCGTGCAGCAAAACCCTCCACCAATAGGAGCATGGCACACCTCCTCGCATGAACTTTCTACATTCACACATGAAATATTTCATTCTTTTTCTCGGCATGGTTGCACTTATACGTGTATATTTTTGCTGAAACTTGTTGAAATAAGTACTTCAACAACTTTGATTTTTAAACCTTTCAATATGAATTCACAGATTTATGTCAATTATTTTTCCTGCTGAGTACAAATATCACTCATCTTTACCAATAATTTAGGAAGTTCTTGCCTGTTGAAAGCACCTAGATAGGAAACTTAGAGTCATATGATCACAACCAGTATTCTTGTTGCAATTATAGGATTGTTATGTGAGAAAAACTGGGCCAAGACACAATTGAGAACCTGGTTGTTTCCATGCCTAAACAATTGCAAATCTTTGTGTTTCTGGAGATGGTCCTACTAGATACTGAACATTACTTTGTTGTACACCTTTACAATTGAACATTAGTAGTTTTATGACCGTGATAAATGTATGTAAAAAATTTAGATTATTAAAAGTCATTTGGCTGGGTTCTTTGTGTTGGTATATATACACATAAACATGCTGAATTATAATTGTATAATTAAAATTGTACTGATCATGGCAATGAAAATTTAACACTGATCCAATTCTATAATTTATTAATAGTAATTGTGTTCTTCTCTTAATTTCAGGTAACAGTAATTGCTTTTTTTGTCACCATCATTCGAAAAAGGAGGTCGTCAATTGAAGGTCTGGTGGAAGATGATGACTTGGAAGAAAGTGATGATGATATGTTGAGAGCTTGAAAGTTAACCTTATAACTTGCCTATTTATATTTCAGTTAGACTTTTTTCTTTTTAATGTTACTACTTATTAGAAACAGTCATAAACTTGTTTGATATCAGTTTTCTTAAGTGAGAAGTCAGAATAATGGTAATACTGTGAGGTTTTTGCCAAAATTTAACTAAAACACTAGTTTTAGATATTATCTTATAATTATGCTCAGTGTTTGAAACATCAAAAATATTTTGAGTCATGTTAAATCTTCACAGTATTTTCATTCACAACCTTTGTTAATTCTAGTGATCAGTGGTTAGATCATTGTATAGCATAGCATCTTTCTATAAAACAAAACTCAAAATATTAAACCAGCTACAGTCGTGAATTACTCGAACATTTCACTCTTTCCTTAGTGGTTCTGTGATAAAGTCCTTTCTTATTTAATATAATCTTTTTTCAATTCTGAAGAGTTTTTTTTTTAGGGTTGTATTCCTCTTGCATCTGTGGAATATAAAAAATGGAATATTAGTTTATGTAGTTCAAACTTTGTAATGTTTCTGGTGCATTTGAATAGTATTTTTTGTTGTGTTTTTAATAAGTAATCTATCTCTGTATGTATAGTAAAAGCTTATCATTTGATATTCATAGATATTAGATATTCTGAAGTAAAACAATTTAGTTCTTGTTTTATATTGCTTTGAATAAAAGTATGTTAACTTGCTCTTCAAATGAAATTGTTCTCCTCTAAGCTATTGCAGCTATTGTTTTCGTTATCTTAATGAGAAATATATGCTGTTAGTTATATACATTTAAAAATATTGATACAGTTGGTTTTAATTGTTTGTTTTTTATCTGTATCCATTAATGCATGGAAAGCTCATGTAAAATTTAAACTTGTTTCAACTTTGGGTGTCAGTTGAAAATTACCCAAAATTAAGATCTAACTGCTTATAAATGTGAATATCTCTTGTTTAAATGTAGTGAATATGTATATATATATATTCAAAGTGTATATTGGTATTAGTTAAGCTTAAATTTAGTTTCTCCATCATTTATTCATAAACTATTATTTTGGAACTTAATAAAGTTGTGTTTTATCCTAATTAAAGAATTGTGTCTCAGTTATTTGTTCCAAGTGAGTAATGTTATGGACTGTATTAATAGTTGACATGATGGAAATACATACCATCTATAAAAGTAATAATGATAATGAGTGAAAATGAAATAAACCTTTTTATCTGAAATGAAACAAAATTAGAAAGACTTCATTCTTATTTTGGTTTTAAATGGTAGAATAAGATGTTTTTATATCATAAAATGTGTATAGTGAATATTTATTTTTTGTAATAAAAGTTGTGCAAGTAACAAATTCTTTTTAGCCACATTGTGCTACTATGATAAGAGTAAAAACACAAAAGCTAAGTAAAAGCTTTATTATTAAATAGAGCTGACTAGTTTCAGTAACTAATAAGTCAGATATTACTTTTCATCTCACCCAAACACTCAGTTTTGTGATGTTAACTCTTAATGTTGGTGAAAGTAACTCTGTGTACAGTATTAACAGGTATATCAGGGTTTTATATATGTGGGCTGGGATTCTTTTACAGTGTCCGTGACTTGTTGGTAATAAATTTGAACAATAAATGGACAGCACACAATTCACTTGGTTTAAAATAATATATTCAAAACAAGTCAAGCGCATGTACAAAAATTCGTTACACTATAGGATCTCACATTTATATCGAAAACAATTCTCTTTTCATGTCAAAAGTCCACACAGGCATGCTCAATTGCTTTAGAACCCAATTGACAAGATGAATTATTTTTCTCTACTCTGTTTCTTATTGCACAATCTGCGATAGATTCACTTATGTTACCCAGTATGTTACCACAGTTGCATCTACAACTTCAAATAATTGTCTCCTTTTCATCAAAGTCTACAAAGGTGAGTTCAATTACTTTAGAACACCTTTTGACAATACAAATTATTCTCCTTATCTTTGTTAATCTGTGAAACTCACTTTAAAATATTGCCCGTTACAGCTAAACTAACAATCACGCAGTTTAATTTCACTTTCACTAACTTAACTTTTGCTTACTTAACTTACACTCATTTGGTCGCCTATATTTATATTGTCCAACTGAGGCCTAGAACTTTCTACACACTAGGAGATGCTATGATGTAACAATACTCACTTAAGGCAATGACAAAAATATAGGCCAGAGTAATGTGATATCAAATTACAACAATTGAACTACACACAAAAAAGTATGACTCTTACCAAGGTATGTTATGAAATTTGTCATAACTGTCACCTTTAAAATAATTACTTTTAACACTTGTTATGAAAACTAAATAATTACTAAATATCAGATCACCAAATGAATTAAATAATATCTCTTACACTGAACAATATATGTAACAAGGTAATTTGTAATTTGAAGACATACCCAACAAAGTTCTTACATTTTTCTTAAAGTTGATCATTAAGTTTGGTATGTTTTCCTCATTTTATTAGCAAACTTTGTAAAATACACATATTTGGAAAATGTAAGAGCTTGAAACTTTTCCTGTTTTTCATAATTCTTGAATTCTGCAGATAACTTGTTTGTAGTTACTTGCCTACTGATGTGAATTAGCACATCATTTTTTTCAAAATTTTAAACATTAGTAACAAAAAGGTTGTTATTGTGTCAATTTTTTAACCTTCAAGTTACTGATTTTTTTTTATATTGTTGGGTGTCCACATATTGCATAATATTAAGTGATTTTATGTTTGTATATCATACATCACTGGGGGTAAAGAACTAATAAAAATTGGTTTAAATCTCAATTTCTGTGTAAAACACATATAGGACCCCTTCAATAATTAATGGTAATAATTACAATATTGATGGTACTTTGAATATTTGTCATTAGGGACACTGTAACCAACAATCATGCTACCAGCAACTTGGTCCTAATCAGTAATTTGTGGGTTAATGACATTTATCAATAATCTTAAAGAAATATTCTAGTTTTCAACAAGGTTATGATTAAATTCCATTTCACTGTTTTAGTCTTTCAGCTCTTTGAACTTGTAGCAGTAAGTGGTTTAGAGTAATCTTGGAAACGTACACAATAACTGCATCAAGTTTTACGAATAAGAGATTGTTTTTGGCCATACCTCTGTTATTATTTCTTATGGCCATAAAGAGATAATTACTCTTACTTAAAGAGAATGTTTGTTATACATCCAGTAAGTAAAGATGGGTCTATCCCACAAGTCGGAAGAACTTAAAAAAGCTCTGCTTTCCCATCATAATTCAAATTTTCTTGTTGACAGTCATGTTGTTAACTTCACTCACTAAGAATTCTGAGATCTTTTTCTCATCCTTCTGAAACAGTTACTCACAAACCCTGGATCAGGAAGTCTCAGATCTTCTAGAAATAGCAAGCTAAATCACTTATGCCAGGTATCTAGAATGTTTTTTTTTTTGTTTGTTTACTTACCTTGTGGTTCCAAGGAAACCTGGATTTTGGAGGCCTGTCATAAGTTTATCTCAACTCATCTTTCGTTTGGGAAACCCCATTTTCAATTAGAATACCTAAGGTTGTTACAAAAGTTTCTTAGTCATGGTCATTGGATGACATTAGTGTATACAGGTATGCATATCTTTATATATCTATTCATCTCCATCTCTTATTCAGTCATTTCTTCTTGTACCACCAGTGATAGTTTATTAGTCCATTACCATTCCCTTTAGCTTGGTTTGACTTCATACATTTTCTGTTGAATAATCTAGTTTTTTGATGATTTTTTTCCATTCATTCAACATCAACTTTTATATTAATGTCTGACTTATTGTGACTCTTTGGTCCATTCACATTTTTACAGACACATACTCAGCTGGATACATCTTTTGGGTGGCTCACCCACAACTCCAGTTCTCATTTCATACAAACACAGTACTTATTACATCTAGGATTTTGGATTAATGCAGTTCAAAGAACACTTCAATCACTTCCTATGCTGTTGCAAAATTTGGAGCTTTGTGTTCGTACTCTTCTGTCATCTGCACCTACTGCCATAGGACGATGGTATTACTTAACGATTTCATTCCCTTGGGATATAGTTACATGTGATACGTCTCATTGAATCTTACTTCTCACTAGAATCAATCTTCAGGAATTTTGCTCTCTCCCTATTCTTGATTGCCTCCAATCTTGTCTCAATTGAAAATTTACTAGTGCATGTTCCCCTTTTCTTTCATCTTATACAAATCTGCACCTCCTCACAGATGCCTCTCTTAAGGGATGAGATGGGGTAATCTGTTGGGTTCCTGGTCTTCTCAGGAATCAGAATCTTATATCAATCTTTTGAATCTTAAGAGTTCAGCATGTTTTTTCAAGAGTTCCTATTCTTACCATACTAGCACTGTATTTTAGTTCACACAGACAATTCCACAGTGGTGGTACATATCAACAATCAAGAAGGAATTTGATCTCACAGCCTTTATTTCACTGCAAACTATCTCTGAGACTGTCATGTGCTAGGTGTTATGAAAATTCTTCTGGATTCTATTTACAGAAATTGTAAATTTATTCCCACAGAATGGACTCTTAATCCTCAGGTTTTTAATGGTTGTGCCAATGGCTTGATCGTCAAATGATTAATACTTTTTTTGCATGAGCAGACACCATCTTCTTCAACATTATGGTTTCCAGTTCGATTACCAGCTTTTATATTGGTGGATGCTTTGAGCCACTTTTGAGAGAATTATTTTTTTCCATTATACATACCCTTATTTTCATCGTCTTCCTTGGGCATTGCCCAAGATCATTTCATAGAAATTTCGTGTCGTCTTTATTGCTCCACTTAGGTTTGGTCGTTCATGGATTCCCTATCTAATTCATCTATCTCAATGGAATCCTCATCCACTACCTTTCTGGAAACATTTACATCAGCTTCAAATGTCCATCTCCCATACCAATGTTTGTCATATACAGCTTCTTGGATGGTTGTTATGTGGTCCTCTAATAAAAAAGCTGAACTCTTCTTAGCTCGAATTTTATTACATGATTGTCAATGTTCACCCCTGGCTGTCTACCAATCTTACTGAAATATATTTATGGTGGGTGCATTAGAAAATCTGTTTCTTCATGTTCTTATTGCTCCCCAGTGGCACAGCGGTATGTCTGCAGACTTACAATGCTGGAAACCGTGTTTCGATACCATTGATGGGCAGAGCACAGATAAGCCATTGTGTAGTTTTGTGCTTAACTTCAAACAAACAAACATGTTCATATCTCATGATCATGTCTTATCTGCTTCAATTGCAAGGAACAGAGCTTTTTAGATGCCACAGAAGCCATCTCTCTCTTTCTCTCCTGTCCCCACTTTTAATTATCTCTTCCTAGCCCTTTCCTTACTTCATCCACAAGTCCCTAGACACCTTCCTCAGTGGGACTTAGGTCTCATCTTACGATGTCTTTCTTCTACTCTACCAAACCAAACCTGACACTCATATCCTTAATGCTTCTGATACTCTTTTCTTTTTTAGGAAAGTTCTATAGTATAGATTTGGGCTTTGAGATAAGGTAACTTCTTTTTTCACCAATTTGTAACTTATCCTGACAAACCCAGATTCTCATTCTGAAGAACGCCTTCTATGTCCTTTCAGAGCTGTTAGTTTATATACTGTATGACGAGGGCCTCAAAAAATGTTATTTATCTCTCATAGTGAAACTCAATCTACAGGCCTTGCTCCATCCATGCTAATGATAATGAATTGGCTTCTGCAGCTGATTAATCTTGTCTATCATTATGTATTTGAACACCTTATAAGTGAAATTCAGGTTAAGTCTCATCAAGTTCACCATTTGGCAATGTATTTCACTTCCTTGTCTCAGTACCCATTACAGAACATCTTACAGGTAGGCTAACATTTTTTACGAAATAAAATACATTTCAAAATTTTGTACACCTCACATTGCTATTTTTTTAGTTTTATAATTTTATTTTTTTCTACCTATGGTATTTTCAAAACCATTTGGGATCCATAGCAGGTGAGTTAATCTATTACCTGCTTATTTATTACTTAGACCCACACCTGTAATGTG